ATAGCCCCATGTTTCTCATCTGTGGAATGAATTGTGGTGGCAAAGAAGGCGGCGCTCAGCTGAGGAGGCCTCGTGCTTCGTTGGTCCAGTCCATAGGTCTTCTGCAGCCAGCACTCAGCTCTGGTGTCTGTGTTTGCTTTGGGGGGAACAGTCACAAATCAGAGGACAGAGGTGAGTCCCTTTTGCCATCCTCTGTCTACCTTCCCAGGCCCGGCACAGCTGTGTGATGGTGTTCTGGAACCTCTGAACCTTTCAGAGTCACCAGCCCTGACTGACATCTGTCTTCACACAACCAGTGAGCGTGGCAGTTGTGCCCCAGGGCCTGTGTGCGTGTCCTCAAGGTGAACTCTTCCTGATCCTGGAAATACAAACCTTTGTGAGGCTACCCTCCTTATATAGTCCTCCTGGAGGGAGGGCTTGAGAGTGACCAGGCTCACTCTGCATGAGAGGGTAGAGGGGGCCTTTCCTCTCGGTCTCCACCTCATTATCTGTGAGGTGGGAATTCTCGGGTATCTGGCTGTGTGTTGATAGGGGTCGGTGACATATGCAGTGTGCAGGTTTGAACACTGGCTGCAGAGGCCTGCTGTCACAGAAGCAAAGTTTTAGCTGTGCACACGTGTTGATTCAGTTCATAGCCCACCCCACCTGTGAAACCAGTGTGCAGTCCCCCTCCTCACCTGTCCGACCGCCACCTGGCTCTCGGTGCCCCTCAGGATTGTATTCAGAGCACGGAAGAGGCGCTGGGCACCTTGACTCCCCTCTGTCTCCTTCAGAGTAGTAGGACATCGGTAACAAGTGCAGGCCCAGAGCAACCCCAGCTCCTCCTGCGCCTCCTGAGAGGCCGAGGGGCCTGCGGCAGCCGGGCTCCTGCATGCTGTCTCCGTCCTCTTCAGCCTTGCTGTCTCTGCTCTAGTGACTCAGCCCTGTGCTGGAGAACGGAGAGCCAGAGGCTGCAGGCTGGCTAGCAGGGCAGTGCCAACACCGCCGCCGGGTAACACTAGGTTGGAGGAGGCCCCAAGGCTGCCCAGCAGAGAGCTCAAGGGCCGAGGCCCAGCCAGTAGCCCGGCATGGCAGCCTGCCTCATTAGCTGGGCCAAGTTCTGCAAGCTACACAGGCCTTGTTTGTAAAACCATGGGCGCAGTAGTACCAATCTCACAGACTCTGGTTAGAGGAAAATGTGTTCCTGTCTTCTGCAGAAATACTAAATAGAAGGATGAAACTGTTTGCAAAGGGGCCTAAGCTAGCTTGGGTGGGACTGGCAGGGCGGTTTGGTGGTTAATGGCACTGCCTCCAGGCCTGGGGCCCCCAGAACCTGTTAGTACAGAGCTAGCGGAGGAAGTCCAGCCTGAGGGGTGAATGGAGGTCTGACAGCTCTGCAGAGCTAGGCTGAGACTCACTCACTCGGTGAGTATCGATCATCGCCTGTACAGCAGACCTGTTCCGGGAACTGTAGAGATTTCGGTAAAGACTACAAAGTAAGATGGCCTGTCCTCTTGGAACTCGTTGAGATTTCTGAAGAAGTCAGTTCTGATACAAGTTACTTTATCTTTGTGAATATATGAACACACACCCCTTGTGGGTGTGACTGTGGAGAGGGATCTGCCACTGATGGAGGACCTGCCCGAACCATTTCCACAGCCCTTCCCTGCTTAGTAGGTTGTTATCAGCCCTGGTTAACAGATGAGGCAACTGAGCCCAGAGAAGTTTAAAAATACTCCCCGCGTCATGATGAGTAATGGCCCCGGAGGATGAAAGGCAGGTGTCCCTGACTCTCAAGTTGGGATGCAGAGCTGCTGCTGTTCCTCCTAGCCTGAGACTTTAATCTGTGGGCCATTCCCTGGAGCCAGCTGCGTGGTTCTGTGGCGATGGCTCCATTCTTGCCTGTAATAGGCAGATGCTGGGATAGCCGTGTAGACAGGGCACTTCAGGGTTAAGGAGGCTCAAGGAATCCTACCCGGGGGCCTAGGGCAAAGCTCCTCCCGGAGGTAAAACCTTCAGGCTGCACTTCATGGAATAGCTAGGATTTTTGCAGCATAACGAAGAAAGACATTCCAAGGCTAGACCGAGACAAAGCAAAGGCCCACAGGCAGGTGGCAGGTGATATTAGGGACCAGCCAGCCCGCGACTAGAGCACGAGGTGAAGGGGGAGGTCAGGCAGCCTCATCTTACCAAGGACCTCGAGGACTAGGTAGGGTGAGAAGTTTTTGCCTTTGAACCCAGGCCGCTGGGGTGCCAGTCAGGGACTCTGCTGTGGGGGCTGCCATCTGCTCTGAACAGTGGACAGGAAGGAGGTGACACCAAGGGAACATACAGGTTTGATGTGAGCACCATCGTCTCCTCCCCCCTCATTTTATTACAGTGTTAGGGTGGAACTCATGGCCTTGTGTATGCCAGTCAAGGGCTCCCACCAAGCCGCAAGAGCTCATGCTTTTTCTAAGGTGCTCTCTAGGCTGGGCTGTAGAGTAAATTGAACCGACAAGAGACTGGAGAGGGCTGAAGGAAAACCTTCCCGGGTGCTGCTCCAAAGAACTCGAGAGAGCTGGGAAGAGTGACTAGGTGGCCCTGGAGCACAGACACACGACCAAGGTCGAGAACCATGGGAGAGAGAGGCCAGCTCCCCTAGGACGTTGTGGGCAGCATTCATGCCGGTCCTGGGAAGCCTGGAGATGCCACTGAGGTGGAGCAGCTGGCCAATGAGGGAGACCACAGCTTCCGCCCATCTAGACCCTGGCTGTTCCTGGGGTAAGTCTGGCCCTGTGGACAGAGAGAGTCCTGGGCTAAGTACCCGGCCCTGCTGCTCTGCTCCGGGACCCTGCAGGACTTGTTTATACTTCCTGCCTGCACCATGGCAGGAGTGTTAGGGAGGTGCCATGCACACATCTTCTGTTAGTAGAAGGGACCAAACTTGAGCACACATGCGTACCAGGTTTCTGATCCAGAGAGAAGGGACCCCACCAGCCCTGAGACAGTCCAGGAAGCCTGGTGAAGCAAGTGGGAGCACTGCAGCAGTGAGCCCCGTTCCCCGGCCACACCTCTCGGGTAGACCTCCGGGGTCAAGCTACGGTGCTGACTGGCTGACCCTGAAGACACTGGCCCGGGTCACCTTCCTCCTACCACCAGGGCTAGTCAGTCTCCATCCTGGGAACTGAAGTCAGATGTTCAGTGAGTGCCTCATTCTGCACACCCCTGAGCGGCTGGCCCTCCCTCCCTCCCGCAGGATTCCAGCTCGAGCTTTAATTGCCTATCGGTGGGACTCATTAAGTTCTGTCATCTGAACAACTCACGGGGCCAGCATATTTTCCTCTAAATGCAGATATTCTTTTGAGGAATTGCATCTTTATCTCTCACAGAAAAATCACTAAATTAAAAGAATTGCCATTTAAAATTGCAGATTAAAGAGAAACTTAATTAGAAGGGATGGAAGCAGTTGTATTTGGAGCTTGTGTTCCGGGCCCTCCCCCTTTGGCTGTCGAATCACTGCACTTGGAGTTTGTGTATTTGTGTTTTAGGTGAAATGATTTGCCTAATTAAGCTTGTCATTCATCACCACCTGTTCCTACTAAAGTACATGGCTGCAGTATTAAGCATGCCAAAGGATGTATAAATTAATTCAGCGGGGAATTACAGCGTGGACTAGGACATTCTTAGATTTTATCCAATTTATCTGGTAGGAAAACCGATACTTTTTCCCCCCGATAAAGCAAACATCAGCTCATTAAATCTTTCATTTAGTCATGCACTGAGCACCTGTTACCTCACAGGTACTGTATGAGGTAGGGGACAAGTGGTACCCGTGCTACAGCCCGTCCTCAGTGGATTCTCGGGAGCCGGGCAGAGAGACTGGTGATTTGGATGCCATGGCCGAGGAGGGAGTTCTGAGGTTTCCAGAGAGAAGTAGCTTTTGAAGGGTGATGGAGTTGGTGAAACCTGAACCTGAGCGGCAGCTACATGTCAGAAGGCCTTATCGCCTGTGCCTGAGAGCTTGAGTTCCAGGGCTGGAGAGATGCTCAGTGGTTAAGAACACGTGGCTGCCCTTCTAGAGGACTGGAGTTGAGTTCTAGCCCCATACTGGGAGGCTTACAGCTGCTTACAACTCCAGCTTGCTTCTGTCTTTCATGGGGGCGCGCGCGCGCGCGCGCGCGCACACACACACACACACACACCTTCTCTTTAAAGAGCTTGGGTTCCTCTATAGCCTTGGTACGTGGTCTGCATGGGGACCTGCCTTACCGTGCAGCATTCTGCTTGCTGGGCCTTCACTTGTGTCTGTCCATGCACAGTATCTAAATGAAGAGCAACAGACTCAGGAAGCAGTGCGACCCCATATGGAGCTCAATAGGGTTTGCCAATGAAGAAGGGGTCAGATGTGACCAGAGTAGCCCTGGGTAGGAGGGGAGGAGTCACCTGAAGGCAGAGTTTGCCCCCTATGAGGAGCTTTGCCCACCTCTGCCCCACCCATTTAGAGAACAGGCCTGTAGGAGTGCTGTGAGCCTTGCTAAAAAGGAGATACAGCCAGCCCCTGAAATACGTAGCCCGACTTCGGCTTCTATATGCCCTGTCTTGGGAAGCTATCTTACCCCGTGTTATGCTACAACTGAATGCTTAAGTCTGGGTAATTTATAAAGGAAAGTAGGCTATTTGAGATTATGGTTCTGGATGTTGGCAACTCCAGGGCCTGATGCAGGAAGAGGAAGGGTGACCTGGCAGCTGTGGAAGGGAGAAACTGGGTTCTGGGGCATTCATTCCTCTTGCTCATGGTAGCCGATCCAGTTTAAGAACTCAGCATTCATTCCTGAGGTGCCCACAATTCCAATACTTCCCTTAAGGTCCTGCTATCCAGCATTGACTCATCCAGCATAGGAACTAGTGGGGATACATTTAAGCCCTAGCAAAACCCAGCATTTTTTGAGCCTTTCTTGCTCTTGGAAAGTATCGGCCCACTGGGTGCTGCCTAGGCCCCAGGTGACGGTACATCTTCTCTCTCCTCTCCATCCTCACAGCCCAGTTCAACGGCAGCGAGAAGCGGCAGTCTTCCCCGTCCCCGTCTCGGGACCGACGGCGCCAGCTCCGTGCTCCTGGAGGAGGATTCAAGCCCATCAAACATGGGAGCCCCGAGTTCTGTGGGATCCTGGGAGAGAGAGTGGACCCCACTATCCCACTGGAGAAACAAATGTAAGTTCACTGATGCGGTGTCGGGGCCGCCCCTGCTTCCTCTGGATGCTGTGCCTTCCTCGTCTTTATTGTAAGAACACAGTTGATCACTGGCCCTTGTGACAGAGGCTCTGGAGAGGTCAAAGCTGACCCCTGGCCAGGCCTGGTCTCGTCACACCGTGTTGACACCCTGACGCTCAGTGGCTGGCAGGAGGGACTGCAAAGTCTTGAGCTGTCTCTTTACTTCATTTTTCCTCCTAGTTGCTAAGTGTGAGCTAAGTAAGCCCACCCCTCAGTGTAAACTAGATTTCTTCTTTAGCTGTTAGGCCGCTTTTCTGCTCCATCTGCTCACTGTTCATCAGCTCGGGCCTTTGCACTCCTGATTTGATTTCCCCTATCCCTTTCTCCAGAGATCTCTCGCTTCTTGTTACAGTTTGAGGTCCACCCATACTGTCCTGCCCCTCTTCTGAGCACTGTGCCAGAACTGACCTTCCTCTTGACCTTGATGACACCTTCCTGCTCTGCCAGGTCCATTCATGCCAGAGAAGCTACCTCCCACCACAGCAGTCACGCCTCATCACGGCTCTTGCATTCCTGTGGGACCCTTGGGCTGTGCAGACTGACTTCTGTATGCCTTTGTTACCCTCCCTCTCCAAGTCAGCTCCGTGAGATCCAGGGTATAGTGAGGAAATACTGAGGAAACCAGTTGCTACTGGATGGGATGAATGGCAGAGGTTGAGTCTCCCTAACCCCCTGAGTCTGACCTGGCTGGCCATCTCCACAGGCGTCAGAGTGTTCCCATGTGATCTCTTGCTCAGGCCCAGCAACAGTAGGCCGGACCGCCCAAGACAGCCTGTGGTCTGCAGCCTCTTCCTGGCAGGCTGCCTGCTGGCCTCTGGCTACTGATCCAGTGCCCTTTGCCCCTCTTTTTGATCCTCTACTCCTGGCCCCTCCTGTCTTTCAACATAAAGTAGCCAGGACAGGACCTGGCGCTTACCCTCTTTGCCACCAGGGACTACCCTTAACGAGGCCCCCGGGAGGCGCTTCTCTGTCTCTGTTCCAGTCCCTGTGCTCAGGGAGGGCAGACAGCGGGCAGCAATCCCCTAGGGCCCTTTCCACCTTCCCTGAGGACCGCTCAGTTTCAACTGGCTGGAAATTGAGGTCCTAATAAAATGCCTTTGTCAGCTTGCTGGAGGTGTGTCACTCAGGCCACCTCTCCTGAGCCAGGTCTCACCAGGTCTGTGACTGCTTATTTGTGAAGCCAGCTTGGTTTGCCTGTTTCCCCCATGACTGCCTTGGGCCCTGGCATCCCTGGAAACTTTCTCATTATGGCAGCCTAAACATCCCCAACCTGTGGTTCTGTGTTCTGTCTGTCTGTCTGTCTGTCTGTCTGTCTGTCTGTCTGTCTGTCTGTCTCTGCCGCCGCAGTGTTCCTCTCATGGACCCAGCATAGCCAGCCACAGAGGAGGTGTGGGGAGTCCCTCCTCCCTGGCAGTGAAGGCCTTTGCTGTCCCGTTGAGTTTTGTCTCCAGCTCCCCCAGTCACAGAAACATGGTTTTCATCCCATCCTGTGGCCAGGTGGGTCCATATGCCCCCGCCCACATGTCCCCTCCTTCTCTGGCTCACGTGGGATTCTCATTGGCCCAGCTAGTGCCAGAACCATTCTGCAGGATCCGGCCAGTCTTTCGGGTTAGTGGGCTGCCCTCTACTTTGCCCACATAGGGCTTCCTGTCGGCATGTTCTAGGAGTGTTTCATTGAAAGAAGTGCCCTGGCTCACCTCAGGACCCCCTGGGCCACACTGCCTGCTCCTGTTCCCACCACTCCTACCCTGTTCTCTCTCTCTGGCGGCTCCAGCCAGTGGCTCTTTCCACCCCCCTTTCCAGACTTAGTCTTGTGCCCGCACTAGACTGCCACGCAGGCCCTTTCTAGCAGCCGTTCTTCCTGGCGTCCTTTCTCACCTCCTAAGGTCTGCACGGATCCGTCCCTCTCGCCACCCTGGTCACCCTGCCTAAAATAGCCCAGCCATGTGACCCAGCCTCACTTTCAATCTCCTGAGCACCTGTCACCACAGGACAACGTGACAACCACAGAGTATCTGGCGTTGGACTGCCTGTGTGGAATGTGAGCCCTCCATGGGAAGGGACCCAGGGCTTTGTTCTCTCTTCTTCTCCTCAGAATCTGACATGTGGCAGACACCGGCAGAGCAGCTGTTGAACTTCCTCACGGGAGGCTGGAGCCAGCAGCTGCCCTCTGAGGCACTGAGCCTCCTTGGAGGTCACTCTGGGGACCCTGTCCCCACCCAGTTCTGACTCCCCTCTTGTCCTCTCCCCAGATGGTATCATGGAGCCATCAGCAGAAGTGATGCCGAGAACCTGCTGCGACTCTGTAAGGAGTGTAGCTACCTTGTCCGGAACAGCCAGACCAGCAAGCACGACTACTCCCTCTCCCTGAAGTGAGTACTGTGCACCCTCCGCCTGCCCCGGCACCGCGGGTGGGCCTGCGTGGGTCTGGTGAAGAAAGGGGACACTAGGTTTCCCCAAGACACTTGTCCACACAACTTACTCCAGCCTTGGGTTTATTTAGTTCCATTCTGGGGACCCGGAGAAGCTGTGGTGGATGCCCAAGGAGGAAAGGCTTCTCCTCGGAAGGGTGGCCACTAGCTAGGAATAGCTCTCGTGCTTGGTGAGCTCAGACCTGTACGTCTTGGCTCTTAGTACGTCTTGCCTATCTTCATCTCCATACTAGTTCTTTGATGAGGAATATGTTGCCTCTCTGTAGACTGAGAAACTGAGGCTCACAGAGAGCAGGTGACTGATGAGCATCTCTCTGCCCCTCCATGGTGCTGGGAAGCTGCTGTGAGGACCCTTTCCGGTTGTCCAGGTTGTCTTCTGGGCAGATCTGCTCTTCATGTGCTCCACAAACGGGAGGGAATGCTGTGAGCCTGGCAAACCCCACTGGGGTTATCACCTGTGGCTGCTTTGCAGATGGCCAGGTCTTTCCGACCCATGAGCTATAGAAATGAACAGGGTTAGAAAAGAGGTTATTGAATTTTCTTTTCCTTCCAAATGAATGTTCCATTGTTCAGTGATACTGCCAGGCAGGACCCAAGAGAAGATCTTGAATCCATTTTATACATAGGAAAATTGAGGCTCAGAGGAAGAGAAATTCTCTAAGGGCACAGAATTAGTGACATAAAATGGAGTGTGAACCAGGTCCTGCGTCCAGACATCCTGGGTACCTTGTCTCCTCTCTACCCTAGGTCATTGCCAGAGGCTCACGATAGAGAATGGGCTTGGTAGCACGTCTCAGGAAAGCTTGCGCCCATGCTGGCAGGGTGGACCCATGAATCAGCCTTCACATTTGGTGCATGAAGACATGCGTACCCCTAAACCAAGCAATCTAGTTGAATGCTATGACCCTGTGGGATTCAGTACAGCTCTGCCTATGGAAAACAGTCTCCTGAGAACCTGTGATCAAGTGTTTAAGAATGCAACCAGTTGCTGAAGAAGTTACCCCAGTGAATCTAGCATCATCCACGTTTCCAGCCCCTCCCTATCACCCGACACGCATAGAAACCAAGTCACAGTTGGTTCCAGAGGCCAAAGTCTTGGCTCCTTTATCCTTGCCCTGTGTTATTCTCTGGATTGGGGCCCTCTCTTGGGGTTGGAGAGTTGTACCTTGGTTCTGCTTTTATGGTGGTCGGCTTGTCATTCAGGAGGTCTGGGTGCTGTGGGAGCCAGTGGGAGTCCACCTCCCTCCTTGACTGTGGCCTTCACGATTCTGAGCCTCCCAGTCCTCATCTGGGCACTGGGATGATGACCTGTTCCTAAGCAACAAGCGTCTAGTCCAATCAGCATCACCCATGTGACCTAGAGTAGTTCCCAACCTGTCCCTGCTTCCTGCCTTAAAGATGGCTTGTAGTCCGGTTAAGAAACCTGTGGTTGAACTGTGGTGACACACACCTATAATCCTAGCACATGTGACACAGAAGCAGGTGGATCTCTGTGAGTTCGAGGCCAGCCTGGTCTACTAGCGGGTTGTAGGCCAGCTGGGATTATGTCATGGTCCAAGATTGTAGGTGTCCTGTCCTGCCTCGCACTGCTTGGCAAGTCCCTCCCCTTTCATGTTACATCAGCAGCATGTGGAGCAGAAGTCAGACTTTGACGGTCACTATAGACACCACTGTGTCTGGCTCCCCGTGTGTCCTTGTCCGGATTCAGCCCCTACTTTCTGCTTGATGTGCATTCTCTGGCTAAATCCGCTGCACTTCCCCAGCCTGAGGTCTCCTGTTGAACCTGTCCTGTCTGCTCTGACCACCAGGACTGCTGTGGAGCCACCGCTCTTCTGGCACAGGAGCTGGAGCTGGGGGGTTGGTTCTGTCTAGAACCGGTAGAGCACCACGCTGACGGTCAGAGGGCTGTGCCCAACGGGGCAGTCCTTCCTGGAGGAAAGGCGAGCTGGGGAGAGGTGCTGCCCAGAGCAGCCCTGGTGCTGTGGGTACTGGCTGCTTTGGACAAGCACCACCTCTGCCAGCCCGTGTGCAGTATGTGGCTTCTCGCATCCTTGGGCCTGCTGCCAGCGGCCAGGTGCAGAGTGGCAGCCCCACACCGCACAGACACGGGCTGCAAGCTGACACTGGAATTCCAGCTATGCGTCTTCTCAGCCTCTGGCCATTCTCATGTGGGTCTTGTGGAGAAGAATGTACTTGGGAGAGCCTAGTCCCCTAGAACAGGGCCCTCTACCTGTTCAGTCCTTCCCTTGAAAGAGCTGTTGGAACCCTCTGTTCCTGGCACGGGGGTCTGGAGAGAGAGAGTCAAGGCAGCCAGCCAGGCCCAGCTGCAGACTCACAGCCCTGCTCACTCTGACTGCCTTGCTGCATGCGGGGCAGCACAGAGGGCTTTGGGTGCCCAGAGGCCTGTGGATGACCCTTAAGAGATGGATTGTTCCTCGGGCAACAAGGGCATCAGAAGAGAGAGAAGGTAAAGGTGTGTGGTGTTGAGGAGCCTCCTAGAGGAGTTTGTCAGATTCTCAGCGACAGGGCCACTGGCCAGCAGGTCCTGCTCAGAGTTCTGTCCCCTCATCCATCAGCAGATAGATGTCTGTGGCCTGCACATGGTGCTAGGATGGCCTCATACAGGAGCTAGGGCAGATCTTTGTCTGAGGTCAGAGGTCTGATGACCTGCTTAGGTCTCTAGCAAGGCTGAGGTTGGAGCTGTGACATGCGTGTGCGCGCGCACGCACACACACACACACACACACACACACACACACACACACACACCTCCCTTTCTATTTGATCAGAAGGCCTTAAGTTGTCAGCTGTGGGAATGTCTTTAGGGTTTATCTAAGGGAGGGAACGGCCCCAGAAGAGAGTCACAGTGGACATAACTCTGCCCTTGGGTGTGTATTTGACTACTCCAACAGTGAAGACAGTGATTTGCTTCTGTGGGGACCGGTGACACCCCTAGATCTGATGACACTGCCCCCCCCCAAGCTCCCTGTGCCTGTGGTCACTGTCTGTACCCCGTCCTCCATCACATCTCAGATGTGTCTGTCACTCCCCTACCGTGGTCAACACCCATCTTTGAAGCTAGTTCAGAGATCTCCAGATGGTTTTTATCACTCTCTGGTCTCCTCCCGCTGCAGATGTCTCTGTGGTCACGGTCACTTCAGCAAGACAGCGTGTATTAGCCAGCCTCATGCCTACCGCTGGTCCTGGGTGTGCTGGGTCTCTCCAGCCAGGCAAGCAAAGGGTTGGGCCTTCAGCAGTTGGTGAGAAACTGTCAACAGCTGATGCCCTCTCCTCTCCCTGGAAAGGCAGTCAGCCTGGGGAGAGGGAGGAGCAGTCTCGTTAACAGTTCTTCAGGCACTTTGAACTGTGAAGCTCCTTGACTTTTAGTTTTGAAAGATTTTGCAAAAGAATCTGGACAAGATGGGGGAAACAGGACTTCAAAGACAGCAAAGTTTTAGTCTTAGGGACATTGTGAGTCCTGCTTTGAGGGGGGGACAGGACTGGGCGGCTTTAGGGCCTATTCTTGTGGGCCTGGGATGGGTACCCAAAATCACACTTCTGAAGCCCCAGTCCTTTCCCACTGCATTGGAGCAAGAGGCCCCCTTAGGGCCCTCACAAAAGAGACCGTTGGCTTTCAAGTCCCCAGAGATGAATTGACAGCTTACAGGGACTGACCTGTTCCGTCACATCTACTCCAGCCTGAGCATCCGGTGCATTCCTCACCCTGCATGCTTGGTCCCATTCGGCACAGTTACTTCCTGGTCCAGCCCCGCAGGGCTTCACAGCCTGGCAAGGAAGAGAAGACACCTAGGAAATACACTAAGAATGTTAGGAGCTGACAGGTCAAAAAGTGCCCTGGGCCACACATGAGGAAGGGGCCGGAGAGAGATTTGAAGGACAAGAGATCTTAAGTGGTGGGCAGTAGAGATGGAACAGGCACAGAGTACGCTCAGAACAACAGATCGAGCATTGATCTATGCCCAGGAGTGGCACAGCCTGCCACCTGGCTAAAGGATGGGGCTTTATCTCACAGAGAGTCAAGGCGTCCCTACAGGGTGTATACAGGGAACAGTGATGCTCTCTGAGCCTTGTTCTAGGATCATCAGTAAACTAGAGATACGAGTGTTACCAAAGAGAAAGGCCACAGCTTTGGCCCCTCTGTGTCCCACGTGCCACACCTATGTGACCTGAGTCTGCACAGTCAGGGCACTGGCGGGGACCTACTGTGAAGGGTTGGAAGGAGGCAGGTTGAGAGCATCCTGGGGTAGAAGCCAAGATGGAGAGGGAAAACCCTGGCTGCTCAGTTAGAGGCACTTTGGGTGGAATTCTGGTTCAGTCTTTCCCCAGCCATCTGGTGCTAGGCAAGTGGATGCCCCGAGCCCTGTAGCAGACCTGAGGGTCCGGGTTCGATCCCCACACTGCTAACAAATGGTGATAAGATGAGGGCCCGAGGTTCCGTCATAACACTCGGTTCCAGCTTTGTGGCTCTGCAGTGAGTCCACAGAGACTTTCCTTGAGTCTGGGGAGAAAGGAGGGAGCACCTCCACCCTGTGGTGTGGGGTGGGCAGTTTATGAAGAAAGACTCTGTTTGCTTAGGGACATCCCTTTGCATCTGCCTGGAGCAGCAGGTTGTGTCGGCTGCTGGACACCCAGTATCAACCAGCAAATGCCCCCTGGTTTATAGGGGAGGGTCGGTAGGTGTCATGGGTCTGGAAGAGCCTGGGGGAGGCACTTCAATTGGGATGTTCTTCTTTCTTCTCTCCCTTCATTGATTTGTATGGTGAAGGAGAGAGTTTTCAAACAGTAGGCAGGTCCGGGTCCAGCCAGGCAGGCGAGTGATTAATCTTCGTTTGTTGCTGCTGACAGCCAGGAGCAAGAAATAATAAATGTTCGCAGGGAGGGAGGGGTGAGGAGAGGCTGAGCCCTGCATCCAACAGAGG